TGCCCACTGCCCTGGGGAGCCTGTTCAGTGCCAACCACCCTCTGGGGGAAGAACCTTTCCCTGAGATCCACCCTGAGCCTGCCCTGACACAGCTCCAGCCATTCCCTGGGGGCTGTCCCTGCTCCCCCCAGAGCAGAGCTCAGTCCTGCCCCTCCTCTGCCCCTGCCCAGGCAGTTGGAACTGCACTGAGCTCTCCCCTCAGTCTCCTCTTCTGCAGCTGAACACACCAAGCACCCTCAGCAGCAGCAGGGCTGGCAGTGGTGGCTCTGACACCCCTCAGGTTGTGTTCTGGAGCCACAGACACACCTGTCTGTATATCCATGCCCACGAGGGCAGCAGCACTGGCTCTGACACCCCCTGTCCCCCCAGCTGACGTCGCCAGGTCCATGGGAGCCAAGGTGGTGATCGCCATCGACGTGGGCAGCCGCGACGAGACCGACCTGACCAACTACGGCGACTGCCTGTCCGGGTGGTGGCTGCTCTGGAAGAGGTGGAACCCACTGGCTGAGAAAGTCAAGGTACTGTGGAAGCTCCCCCTTGTTCCTTCAGGGTGGCAGATCATCGTCTCTTTGGGTTTGAGCTCTCCTTCCTGGATGGAGAGAGCTGGGCAGTGACACCAAAGGGTGTGGGAAGGGGTAGAGCCCCAGGCTGGGAGAACTGTGAGAGCAAAGAGACCTTTCCTTAGAGGTGCATTAGTTATGATAAAGTCAGAATTTATTAATTTTATCAGTAAAAGTAGTAAAATTGTCCAGTTTAGTGTTTCTCTCCTCTATCTCTCTGAACTGCTTATTTTAGCAGTAGGCAGTAATTAAGTACAACTGATAAACGTGGGGCTGCAGAGCATGATTTTATCATTATTATGTATCTCTTGTTGCATGTGGTTAGGCCAACTCTGTGCCTTAGTCTGCACTTCCTACATTACCTGGCTCAGCAGCTTCCCCCCAGGGAATGTTGTTTTCTCTTCCTCCCTCCCAACTGCATTCCCCAGTTTGAACCAGAACTAAAGTACTTGCTTGTGCTTCCCAAAGTTGGAGAAAGTGCTGCAAACTGTGGCTACTGCTCTGCAACCTGAAGTTTTCCTCTGTGATAACTCACTCCCCTGAGAAGGTTTGACCTCCCTGTTGGAGCTGGGGTGGGTGTGCAGTGCCCTGGGCAGAGGTGACTCTGCTGCTACCAGTGCGTACTGGGAGCGTTTGGTGGGGAAAATGGAAAGCCCTGACCCTTCTCAGTAGAGCTCAGTGAAACATCCCAGCTGCCCAAATGGCAGTCAGCACCCATGGGAACATGGGATTCCTTCTGAACGCCAGGAAACACCTTTTTTACTGGTAGTGGTGAAACACTGGCCATCCAGAGAAACTGGGGAGTGTCCATCTGTAGGGGTGGTCAAAACTCAGCTGGGCATGGTCTTGGACACCCTGCCCCAGCTGCTCCTGCCTGAGCAGGAGGGTTGGACTGGATCATCCCTGTTCACCTCAGCCCTTCTGCAAAACCTCTGCCCTGCCACTGGAGGGGTCAGAGAGTCATGGAATCACAGAATGGTTTGGGTTGGAAGGGACCTTTAAGATCATCTTGTTCCCCCCCCCGCCATGGGCAAGGACACCTTCCACTAGACCAGGTTGATCCAACCTGCCCTTGGACACTTCCAGGGCTGGGGCATCACTGATTCCTGCCTTGCAGCACCACTGTGATCCTCTCACCCCAGCACAGATCTCCCTCTCAATACATCTGTATCCTGGAATGAAAGACTCAGTTCAACCTTGAACTGCAGAAAGGTGTCTGAAGGCAATTCCCTTTGTGCTCCTGATAATGGAGACTCACTGTCTGCTGCCCACACTGCCCAGAAAACAGATGGAGGTGCTGATGTGTGAAGGCCTGGGTGTGATAACCCGCTCTCTCTCTCTGCTGGGGACACAGGACTGTTCCTCAGTCCCTCATGAGCGGTGTGTGTGCAGGTGCTGAACATGGCCGAGATCCAGACGCGCCTGGCGTACGTGTGCTGCGTCAGGCAGCTGGAGATGGTGAAGAACAGCGACTACTGCGAGTACATCCGGCCCCCCATCGACCGCTACGGCACCCTGGACTTCGGCAAGTTCGACGAGATCTGTGTGAGTGCCCCCCCTGTGTCCCCTGCTCCGCACAGACCTGCTGGCTCCTGCTGCTGATTACTGCCAGGGCTTGGCACAGAGTGAATAATTGACACTAAATGATGCTGCGGAATGATAGCCTGGCCGGGAGATTGGATTAACAGCAGAAATTGAGTTTGCAGTTCTTGATTCCGTAATGACCCGTGAAGGGATCGGTTGCCTCGCTCTGTTTCGTGGCAATTCCCGCTCAGCTGCTCGGGAAAAGCTCTTGGGTGTCTGAGCTTGGGGGGTTTCCCGAGCTGCTCTGGGCTCTTGGGGTTTGTCCCCCCTTGTTGTCGCGTGAAGGATTTGCAGAATTCTGGTGGGGAGGCCACGAACCCCAGAAATGGAGGGAAGTGTGAAAATACCTGGCTCTGTTAAACTTTTCAACACTCCTGCTAATAAAACATCATCCACAATTCCTCTGCACCCCCCAGAGGGTCGGGACACGGCACCAATGTCAGTGGTTGTGGTAAATAAGGTGCTACCGGGCTGGGCAGTGCTGGGATGGGGTTTGTTGAAGTGTCAGAACCCAGGGTGGGCAGAGCTGACTCCAGGTGTGCAGGGAATCGTCTCGGTGACATAATCCAACATCCCCAACAGAAGTGTCCCTGCCCAGGTGGGAGCAGTGATTCTGGCTCAGTGTGGAAGTGATTTTACTGCCTCTTCCCGTTCTTTGCCTGCTTTAACCATGCAGTCATCTTCCACCTCCAGGCGTTTCTGCAGAGCTTTGCTCTCCTCCCGGGCTGGAAACCCACCACTTCTTCTTTAAGTCAATCTCCTTTACTGCTTAGTGAGAAGCTGGGATGTTCCTTAGGCTGCAGATTGATTTTTCTGGGTTATAAACACTGATCAAGCCCAGGAACACAGCAGCAGGCTCACATTTGGGAGAGTCCTTAGGACACACAGCAGCTGTTCCAAACCACCAGCTGATTTCCCCACTACAAATATTTTCTCTAGGCTGTTTGGTGTCTCTTGGCTCCTGGGCAAACACTGCTGGCTGCCAATGGCTCTAAGGCTTTGCTGATAAATAATGTTCTTTGCGCTGGAGTGCCCTGGCTGATCTGAAAGCCCTGACAGACAGGTCTGGTAGTTCATCACAGGAACAGATCGTGAGCTGTCACATCTCTGTTCTGTCTAATGGGGTGTTGTTAAAGAGATGTAAAGACACCAGGCAAATGTAGTCAGTGGAATAAAACTTGGAAAAGTGCAGTAACTCAAATATGTCACTGTCTGTGAGCCAGTTCTTGGCACCAGACACTGCAGGGATGGAGGGGCAGCACCCTCCTGGTTCCTGGAGATAAATAACTTCTGTCCACAAGGGAACTTGGAACTGTGCTGACCTTAAAGGAAGGGGCAATCCAGGCATTCCTTCTTCCTCATGGTCTGGGAAGTAGGAGGAGTTTTAATTTCAGCTGTGTGCCTGGATTTTACAGGAAACAGAAATGGGCACCATGGTTTGGTTCCAAGGAATTAAATCCCCTCTTCTTGTCAAACCCCTCTCCTGTGTCAGCCCCAAGCTCAGCTCCTCGTGGTTATTTTGGATCAGCCTGACCTGGAGCTGTCAGGTCCTTTTTCTCCTGACTAATCACCCCCACTCTGGGAAGCT